GGATACGAAGTTCAGTTACTAAATCAACCTTTCTGATTAAATGATTCTGATCCCACACAACGTGGGGAGGCGGGACCACTTAAATATGTCAACACAGAAGAGCGTTAAGTCTCCTTGGGTGGCCTTTGCGTTTGTCCTTCTACGCAGGTCTAAGTCGCCTCGCCAACGGGTCGGGCCTAGTGCCCTATAGGACATAAAAGACCCTGCCAGTCGGATTCCATCCTGACTCGCAGTCTCCGTCAGCACAGACGACCTCCCGTCCCATCTGACGATTTCTGCTGGTGCCTCTTTCTCCGACACACGCGTCGCCGTTCCTTTCCTTTGCCTTGGACCTGCCTCTTAGAACTGCACAGTCTTCGTTGTTTCAGCTTTCTGTGTCCCGCGGTTTTAAAGTTCATTTCCTGTAAGCACCAGGTCGTTGGGTTTCCTTCCATCTTAGTGTTGTTTTATCCCACACGGGCGTCTGTGGGATTTCATTAGGAAAATGTCACGCACTTGCATTCATCGTTATTAGTGTGGGCCCGACGACCACACTTGGCCGAGAACACTGGGCTCCGCCTTTTCAGGTTTAGTCTCCTGGCGGCCACTGCCTTTCCTCTTACCTGAATTTTGCTTTGGTCCTCTCCAGACTTTGGTTCATGGATATTTCATTTCTGATCGCACTAGAACATATCTTTATGCCGAAAGAGTCTGACCACCTGAGTGGGCCCCAAAACAGGCCTCCGGGGCGCCGCGCACCTGCGATCCCCACCAAGTGACAGAAGGTGGTTGGATCCTTATTCTTCCATTCCACAGTTCGTCGTCTAAGAATAATTTTTGACATTTGTACTTAGCCTGAAAACAATATTTACAACAATTCTCTAGACTTGCTGGTCCTTACCTGGTTTCAGGGCTAATGCCCCCACCTTTTTGGCCACAGGGTTAGCGTTCTCGGGCCCCCCGCTGGTGGGAGCACACCTTTGAGTAAGAAACGCCTCGAGCGTGTCCCCCGTCACGTCGCACCTGCTATGACACAATCAGAACCAGCTTGGGTTTGTGCTTTGACAAGTAAGTTGCTCTTCTTCCTGGAGGCACATACAACATTGTCACTGTTCGCATCATCCACATTGTTTTCCAGAACATTCCTCCGTAGAAGGCTCTCCTTATTTTCCCCAGAACGCAGTGAGCCTTTCCAATCTGTACATTCAGATCTTCTCCTTTTCAAGGCGCGGGCAGGTTTCCCTTCATTGTATTCTGACTTCTCGCCATTCTGACCTTTTCTCCAAGAACCCCATTACGGGCACGTCGCCTCCGCATCCCCATCGCCTTCTCCCGGTTGGTTTCCACCTCTCGGTTTCTGTCACACTTTTTAGAGAGTGTTTCTCACCCCCCTGTTAGCTTTGTGAGGCCGCTCTTCCAAATGAGCACAACCATGCAGCTTACAATGGCAGAAATGTCTTATCTTGCAGCTCTGGAGGCCAGAAGTCTGCAACCCGGGTGTGGGCAGGGTCGGTCCTCCCGGAAGCTCTGAAGGTGAATCTGCTCTGCGCCCCTCTCCTGGTTCTGGCTGAGGCTGGCCATCGCTGGCTTTCCTTGGTTCGCAGCCACGTGACCCTGCTTTTGTCTTCACGTGACGACCTGGTTTCTCCTCTTGTGCAGGCCTTTGTTGCTGCTTCTGTGGACACTCATCACTGGTCCTTGGCCCACCCAGTTAATGCAGGATGACCTCGTCTTGTGATTCTTAACTTAATGTACCTGCCAAAGCCCTTTTCCTAAATCACGTCACGTTCACAGGAGCCGACGGTCGAAACTTGGACCTGCCTTTTTGGAGTCCACAGTTCAGCCCACTGCACCATCCACGCCCCTTTTCCTGTTTTTGTGCTGCATTTTCCCACCAGCTGGGCTGCCCTGTGCTCCCCTCTCCGGCTTTGCCCCTCACGTGGCCACTCAGTTTCCTGACGTCTCCCTCTGGCTCTGGAGGTGAGTGCTGTCGACCATCCGCTCTTCAGCATTTCAGCTCGCCGACTTCCTTCCTGGGCTCCACGGTGCCCCTCCACGGCCTTGGCTGGTGACCTTTCTCCTCTGTACTGTCCCGCAAACACAGACACGCCAACCCACGCCCCACGATTATAAGTAGACGAGATGTGTTGCTTGCCTTTGGTCCTGTTCTCTTCCTGCTTGTTTGACGGCTACACTCCAGTCTCAGTGTCTGGTCTGGGCCGCAGAACCAAGGGGGCTTTGCTCAACCCACTTCCCAGTTTCCAGCAGGCCTCTGCCAACTGCAGCCTGGCCAAGTGGGGGCCGCATTTGCTGCTGGCCCCCAAGCTAGTTCTTGGACATTGTGAACTGAAGATATTGGATAAGCAAAAGTCCCAGCATGCACTGCTCCCAGAGAGGTCCCTGCTGCTCCCCCCACCCCTACACTCATCATGTGCGCTGCCCAGAGTACTGTGCACCACGAGAGCCCCCTGCCCTGGCCACTTTCTCTGGCTGACCAGGGGACCTCACTGCAGTCGCCTCGCAGACCAGCATCTGAGGGAGAGGGAGCGTGTCCAGTTTTCACACCGGCAGGGATTCCGGGCCTCTGAGTGGGGACAAACGACGCAGGACATTCTGAGCCCCTTCCCACCTTGGTCCCTGGTCTCCGAGTCCTGAGGTTTCTCTCCAGCACTGTCCCCCACCATCACCGTCAGTATGGCTCCTCGTGCCAGATTCTGGCATCAGGTCACAGCTGCTCCCACACTGAGTGAGATTCTGTCCTTCTCTCTGCCGGCGTGGGCATTTATTTTACAGAAAAATAAGAACAGCTGCAGCAGGGGTTCTAGTTAGATGCCATTTCACATAAAAATCCATGGGGTTTTAGTGGTGTTTTTTTTTTAAGCTCAGACACACTCATTTATTCACATTTGTTTATTACAGAAAAACCCAGTAGTGCCTCCGCTGCCTGGTTTAGAGTGGACGTCGGGCTGGCTCAGCTAATTAGCTGGGAGAGTTCTGCAGGGAGGGAGCAGTGGGGGAAGGCCCAGGCCACCAGCCCCCCCTCCCACTGCCCTGCAAAGCTGCCTTCCTAGGGGTCTCTCCATCCCAGAGACTTCCCTCTCGTGCGCCCAGTGAGCAGGCTGTGAACTCCAGGCGCTGGGTGGCAGTTCTGCGGGAGAGGGAGTCAGATCCCTGTGACTCCTGCCCTGGAGGTGCCTGATTTCTCTCTGCCTGCCTGAGAGCATGGGGTCCGTTTGGCTTCATGGTTTTGGTGGTTATTTGAGTAATGATCTCCCTGAACTCCTGTCAGCATGGAAGGGACAGTGTCGGTATCCTTGGTTGTTAACACGGCTGTGACTGGGCCGGGCTGCCTGGGGGAGAGGCCATCTGAGCCGGGCTTTGAAGGGTGCATAGGAGTTCGGTGGAGATAAGGCGGGTGGGAATAGGAGAGAGAAATGGAGTCTCTCTCTTCGGGGTCTGCTCAGCCCAAACCTAACACCCTCTTGGCCTTGTTCTCGCTGTGGTTTCTGCTGCCGTGTAGAGAGAATTCCTTGCTGTGTCTCTTCAGAGGCTGAACAGCCCCAGGGGCTGGGCGGTACCCAGAGGACCATGAGGGGTCTGCTGTGTCTGTCCCCATGAAAAGCCACATCCCAAAAGAAAGGACACCCAGGTCACCTAGACCTAAAGACTAAGCCCAGGAGGATGGACAGAGGCCCTGCACCTGCCGCCCCTGGGGTCCCTGTGTGTGGCTGGCTCCCTCTTCTTTATCTTTTCAAAACAGACCCAAGCGGCACCCACCCCACGGTGGCTGCCTTGGGGTTGTCATCACTTTCCAACAGGCACGTTCATGGCTGGGTCTCCTGGACATGAACCAAAAGCCATTTGCTTCGGAGGCAAGATTTGAGTCAGGCCCAGCTGGGTTTTCCCATCCTTTATTTGCCCGATCCTATTAATAATTAACGGTACAGTAATGAGAATTGCTTTTAATAGAATCTGCTGCCATCGCCGCATTCTGTTCTCTGCCAAGGGTTTCCCCCAAAAGGGCTCAGGCTCACGTGGCTGTGTTTACGGCCACAGGCACCGGGCACCGAGAGGCAGGAAGGTCCCCCGCCAATGACCTTCCCAGACACTCCTTCTGGGCCTGAGCTCCACTGCCTCCCAATCTGGAAGCCCCTGTCACCCTGTGTCATTTCCTACTCCCTCCTCAGAACCCTGTGGGGTGAGGGGGCCCCACCCAGCTCCGCCAAGTGTGGTGCTATGGTGCCTTTTCTGTCACCAAGGCAAACTGGTCCCATGGGCAGGGACAGCCGGGCTGGAAGCGCCTTGCACCCAGCCTTGTGCAGGTGGGAGACCTACACGGTGCATCCGGAAGCCAGCATCCTGGATTGGGGCCTCTCACCTGCCACAGAGGCCCGGAGGCCAGGTGTGAAGGAAAGGACTTGGTGCACGGGGCTGTGTCCTGGCTCAGCCACCGTTTGTGGGGCGGTGGGAAGTGTGGTCCTCACCTCCCCTGGCCCTTAGCCTCAGTTTACTCATCTGCAAAACGAGCACGAAGATGGTTCCTACCTTACCAGAATGTTCTGGGGAGAAGAGGAGCGAGTGTGGGGGAAGCAGAACTAAGGGCAGCTCCTTAACACTCACTCCAGGAAAACGCCGTGATGTGCCCAGGGGTTAGCTGTTCGCTGAGGCAGTGTTTGTGACGCAGGACCTCGAAACCACCTCCGTGCTAGGGACTGGCTTAGTAAGTGCGAGCACAGCCCTCAGCGGAGCACTCCGAGCACCAAGCAGGTGGAGGCTGTGGGTGCTGTAGACGCCTGGGTCCTCCCCGTGGGTGGAAGACTTGGGGTGCAAGGCGGAGCAAGGTCTGCCACCCCTTCCTGGGTCCGAGGCGGGGCCGGAGCGCCACATTCCCCGCCAAGCGGAGGCTGGAAGCTCCGAGGCTCAGAGTGCCTATAGATGGGTGACAACTTTGAATTTTCTCTGTGGTTTATCTTAATTTCAAAATTATCCACAATTAACATGTATTACTTTTGTCTACAGAGAAAAATGTCTTGTTTTTTCTTTAAAAACAAATGTTCTGCTCATTTTCCTACAACACAATCAAGATAATATTCAGCCTGGAAAGACGGGAATTCGCAGAGACACGGACTGGTACGGGTTCTGGCCTCGCCCCAGAGCCCGCGTGTAGGGCGGTGGGCTGGACAGAAGGGGCCACGAGGCTGTACGTGGCGCCAGCCCTCAGCACGGCCCTCTGCGCCATGTCCCTGTCCCCCACAGCCCCTGGGAGAGGACGAGCACCATAGCGGTGGCTACTATTGCCACTTTGCAGCTGAGAGGTGAGTGACGCCCTGCCCAGGGCCACCCAGATCCCTGGGGGGCAGACATAGGGAGAGAGGGGCCCTCGGGGAGGGAGCCCCTCCCTCCTGAAGGTCTCTGTTTGGTCACAAGTCAGGGCATCCTCACCAGAAAATCCAGAAAGATGGTAATACAGAGTTCCCCAAATTAGCTGGAGCTTTTCTGTCCTAGGGGAAGGCAGAAAGCCACTGAGTTGTTCTGAGGGGCTACTGAGTGACCTGAGTGAACTGAGCGGTTCTCCCCACTCTGCAGATGGGGGAACGGAGGCTCTGTGCCATGAGGTGGCACAGCTGGGGTGGGGACCCAGGTCTGTGTGACTTCCAGCTGGGTGCTCCTAGCACAGGGCTGGGCTGCAGAGAGAATGAGAGGTGGAAAAGGCCAGTGAGCCCCACGGAAGAACAGGGGTGCAGGGTCGGGGGAGTGGGACAGGGTGGGACCGAGCCATCCTTCCACCAGCTCTGGCGACCACACCCCCAGGCCAGACAAGGGGCTGGAGGATTCTCTAATCAAGACACATATGTCTTCCAGGAGAGTCTAGTGGGGGCAAGAGACAAGCGGACTGACCATGGCCACCAGGGTCTTGGAGGAGGGAAAGGCTGCACCAGATCCTACAGAATGAACAGCTGACCCGGTGACAGGTGAGAACAGTGCAGGCCTCCGGGCAGCCTGTGCAAGGGCCCTGAGGCCCAGAGAGTAACCGGCCTGGCTGGGGCAGGGGTAGGGGTGGCGATGGGAGAGCTGCCAGGGTAGGCAGGACCCAGGTCTCTGCAACCTTCAAAGCCAAGGGAAGGTGCAGACTGCATCGGGGCAGCGGGAGTTCCTGGGGTATCATCAAATAGGGTGACCCTTTATCAGACCGGGAACCACCCTGGAGGCTGGGGCCCTGGAGGAGGCTGATATATGGACCAGGCGGCAGATGAAGGAGGGGGCGGGGGGGGGCGCTGTGGGAAGAAGTGGGCAGATGTGTGATTCCTGCGGGGGGACTGCCTGCAGGCCGTGGGAGGTGGGAGTAGGAGGGGAAGCAGGGTGGCCCTGAGCGTCCGGGCTCAGTGGTTCGCAGTGAGGAGGGTGAAGTCCGAGGACTCACTGACTCAGTGAGGATGTCAGTGGGCAGCATGGAGGGGCCGGTGTGGAGAACCAGCCCAGGGACCTGGCCACTCTCCAGGGTGCCCTGGATGTCCCACCCCCCAGTTTGGTCCTCTAACCTGGCTGCTGGGAAAATCTGAACCCTGCTTCTATGGCTCCAGCTCCCCACCCCCGTACCCCATGCTTGGGGCTCTGGCTGGAAGCCCTGACGGGGCAGAGGGTGCCAGCCCCCATGATGCTGGAGCATCCAGAGCTGTTGGGGTCATTTACAGAGGGGGAAACTGAGGCTAATGTCACGTGCCCAAGGGCACACATCTGCAGAGCGTTAAGATCTGTCTGAGAGGCTCAGACTCTGTCCCCAGGGCCAGCTTGCTGGTCTGGGCCAGGGACAGAGGTTGAGGAGGGGGGAGGGCCCCACGACACCCGCTGTCCAAGCGCCAGCCCTCCCCCACCTGCCTCTGCCCACGGACATCAGGCAGTGGTCCATGGGCTCCCGCAGCAGTGGTGGCAGCTGGCCCTGGACCAGGAACGAGAAGGGGAGCAGGCTGGGGAGGGGAAGGGGTCTGTGGAAGGAGCCTCGATCCCTTAGTCTCTCAGGCTGAATAGCCCCTCCCAAGATGGAACCCCCTCAGTAGTCAAACCAAAATTGGTTCCCAAAAACCAGCTAGGAAATTCTCCAAGTTTCCCCCTACGTTGGAGACCAACCGTCTCCGTCAGCGTGTAAAGGCTCTGACAACTCCTGCAGGAAAGACCCTGTTGGCTTGACCCAGACTTCCCCACCGTTTACTTAATTAACCACAAACTCCGTTTTTTTCCATGAAATCGGTACCGGCACCAGTGGCAGATTCCCACGGCTGCACATCTGCCCCGGCGCTCCCACCGTTGAGAGGGGGCTCCGGTCACCCCTCCCGTCCCTCCGGGTGGGCCACATGACTGCCTGGGCCAGTGGAGGACGGCAGGGGTGATGCTGGGACAGTTCCAGGGGTGGCCCTTGTCTGGCGTGGCAGCTGCAGCCTCGGCCCCTCCGAGTCTTGAGCAGCAAGACATCCTTCTCATCCTGGAGAACCAGGATGAGGCCACCCTGTGGGCACCCACTGGGCACCGCCCTGTGGAACCTTCAGGTGACCCCATCCCCAGCCGCTGCCTGGCTGCGGTCGCATGAGGATGCCAAGCAAGAACGGCCCTGCTGGGCCCAGCCAACCCTGGCATCCCAAGAGAGGTGAATAAACTATTGTTCAAAGCTGCTATGTTTGTGTGGTTTGTCACACGGCAGTGGGTAACCGGAACCATGGCCTGTAGGCTCCTCTGGGTGCTGGCGGGAGGTCTCCACCCCATTCTCACTGCCCACCACGCCAGACCCCTCCGACACGTCTTTGCACAGGACTCGCCCTCTCCGCCCTCTGCCTGGAATGCCCTTCTGCCTCCTTCACCCCTTGAGAGATCCTTCTAGACCCATGCTGAAGACTTGTTTTACAGCCCTTAAGGCACCTGCAGCGTCCCAAGGCTGGGATCCACCCGGGCTCACACTCGCCTCTTTGGTCTCGGTTTCCTCATCTGGAGACTGGGGGTAATAATGGTAACTGCTTCAGGAGGCTGTTGTGCAGACTAAACAAGACGACCGGGGAAAGCCTATAGTAGGTGCTGAATAGATGCTGACCGCATTAGCTGCTCAACGCCTCCACTGGCACGTGACCAAGTGCTGGAGTGTGATCTGCGTTCTCTGGCTCCCCCGAGACCAGGCACCCATGCTGCGGAGGTCACTGCCCCCACACCCAGGCACAGCCCTCGTAAAGTTGCTGATGTTCAAGAGGTTGGGGAAGCTTAGGGAACCCTCGTCTGCTCTACCTGGAAGAATCCTTGGAGATCAGGGGACCTTATTTTCACTGAGGCCCAGAGAGGTCTAGATCCTTGCCCAGGGTCACACAGCTAGTTCTGGAACTGGGTCCCAAGCCTCAGCTTCCCACGCAGAGCCTTGTCTGACACGGAGGTCCCTCAGTCTCAGGGACTGGTCCTCTCTGACCCCTCTAATCTCTCTCGTGCCCTCCGGGTCCCTGAGAGCCATCTGAGACGCAGGTAACCCCTCAGCCTGATCTCGGGCTCCGCTGTGAGGCGGCTCCCTGCAGACGGCACGGCCGCCCACGGAGGCTCCTCCCCACACTCCCTTCCCTCTGTTCCCTCCCAAAGGTCAGCCGGGGGCTGTGAACTGGGCACCCACAGCCTGCATGTGTGGATGTGTGGGAGAGTCTAGGGCCCCAGAAACTTTGGGTCCAGTCCCAGGCACCCCTCTGACTAGCTGGGGGGCTTGGGCGGATCATCTCTCCCAGCCTCGCCTTCCCCAACTGTATAGAAGAGGAGTAAGAATCGTCTTCTACCAGGAAGGACCTGCAGCGTGGAGAGTCGGGCCCCACTGGGCCCCACTGGACCAACGCCCCTTCCTCACGGCCTGGCCGCCCTTGTTTCCCATCAGTTCCCGGGGGTCCAGGTTCTAAACAGAGTTGGGGAATCCTGAGGCTCTGAGGGTGTGATGCATGGAGCCTAGAACCACAGGGTTCTGCAGAAATCCTTCCCACAAGAAGTGACCTGGGTGAGCAGGCCAGGCCTCAGACTAGGGGATCACAGGCCTCGCCCACAGTGCCAAGTCCCCGTGGGAGAGCCCTGACTGTGAGAAGCACAGCGTGGGTTTGCTGCACAGAAACGTGTGTTGGTTTGCTGCACAGAAACGTGTGTTCGTGATGCATTCGCCAGGTGTGGGGGGTGCTGAGGACAGGGCGCCGGTGGCCCTGCAGCTGTCCCCCACCTTGGGAGAGCTCTGCAGGCTGGGCCTGTCCCTGCCTGGAGCAAGCCCAGCACCCTGACGTGGGAGATCGCTACAGCAGATTAGAGCTGAGAGCTTCAGCTGGAGACCACCTGGCAACAGGCCTGCTGCCCAGGCACAAAGGGGCTGTCTAAGGTATAAATAACCACCGACGGAGTGACTCCCCAGTCCTTCCTGGGGTGAAATGCTCCACTGGCCCCTTCACCACCTTCCAGTTCAGACACCAGCCAGCTTCAGGGACAAACAGGGAGTCTAGGAGGACTCGCTGTCCCGAGGGTTGTGTGCAAACGGCAAACAAACAAAGGACAAACAGAGCTCCGCCTACTAGAGGACACACTTGGTTTTATGTGGCAGGATCGGGGATGTCTGCCGTGGGGCCCTCCCAGCTGGTGGCCCCGCGGAAGCTGCCCGAGGAGTCCTCCACGATCAGCGATGTGCTTCCCAGTCCCAGGCTCTTGAGCTCATGTTTCAGGCTCAGAAATAGTTTCAGGGGAGGGGCTGGCATCCAACTCCCGGGTCTAGGCAACCGCATCATCCTTCTCACCCTGAGACCCAGTTTCCCCTGGAGGAGAGGTGAGACCAGGGCCCGGGACCTGTTCTGGGTCAGGCCTGGCTCTGCCAAGGGTGGGACAGAACCTCTGTGAGTTCAGGCCCTGGCTCACAAGGTGCCCCCCAACCCCTGTCCTGACCCTCCCGTGCCCACCAGGCACTTCTCCGAGGGCCTCCCTTTCCGGCTGTGAGCTACACAGACAGACCAGGATGATGGGGACAGTGGGGAGGATCGGCCTTGCAGGCAGGTGCTGCTGCAGCCCCATCGCACACACGGGAGACCGCAAGCTGCCCAGGTGTGCAGGGACTGACTGGCTCAGGGCCTCGCTGCCGGGAAGACGAAAGACGCCCAAAAGGGATTAGAACTCAGCTCAGTCTCTTTCTACATCCGAAGTTCCTAACCTCTCCAGCTCTGTGGGCCTGTAACGGATTGCCCCACAGATTGACTAGGTGATTGACAGATGACCTGCCAGGGCCCCACCTCCCACCCCCACTGCCTGCCCAAGAGCCTCCAAAATCCCAAATAGGGATGCCCCACACCACAGCAGGGTAGGGGGTGGGGCCGGGTCGGGGCTGCGGCTGCCGGGCCCCGCCCGCTGGTTAATCCACAGCCCTGCGGCTCCTCACTCGCCTACCCGTTGCCGGGGAAACGACCTCTCCCCTTCCGGCCTTCTAAGGGGTCGCCCCTCCCGGTGTTGGCCCCACTGGGCCGCGCTACCTGCAGCTCCCGGATCGGTGGGCGGGAACCGGGGTCCCTGGATAAAAGAGAGCGGAAGGGGGGGAGGGGGGAGGAGAGAGACATGGAGAGACACGTACATATGGGGAGACAGTGAGGGGGCGAGACCAAGAGACACCCGCAGGCGGGGAGAGACCAGGGACCTCAGAGAGGGGAAGCAGAGAGAGACGCGGGGACTCGAAAACACGCCCCGCCCCCACCCCAGCGTGGGCTCTGGAGACACAGAGGGCGAGGCTGGAGGGGATGGGGGAGACCACGGGCACACAGACGTGGGGGGCGCTGCCGGAGGGGTACCCCCAAAGGGGAAAGGCAAGAGCCAGCTAGGGGGCAAGACTTGTGAAAATAAATATTTATAGAGAGTTTCTCAATTCTTTCTGCATTTTCATAGTGAATTACTCATCTGTGTAGCTCCCTCCTACCTGCTTAGGGAGCTGGGGGGGGGGCGCGCCTTTTCGTGCTCCCCCCTCCCCATCTCTCTCTCCCTCCTCCTCTCCCCCCTAATCCTCTCCTTCCTGCCCCTTTCTTCCCTTCTACTCCCTCTTCACCCCCTCAGGTTTCTATCCCACTAACCCCCTCTCCCCCACCTCCCTACTTTCCTACTAAGCCCCCCCTTTCCTCCCCACCCCCACCCCCAGGTTGGAGCTGGGCACCGAGGCTGCCGCCCGCCACCCGGAGGTGACCGGCTGCCACGCTCTCGAATTTCCTCCCCGCCTTAAGAATTATCGAAGTCAGCGGTGCTGGAATGAAAAAAAAAAACACTCGTCTCTGGCAGTCTGGCACCCCCAACCGGGACCACGGAAATCTTCCTCCAGAGGACTGGGGGCACTGGAGTGGGGGAAGGTGAGAACAGGGTGAGGAGGGGACTGAGGTCTGGGGAGGGACCTCGACAGGCCCCTAAACTTGCTGAGCCTCAGTTTCCCTCTCTGTAGGATGGGGCCAGGGGCTAACTTCCTGTGCTCTAGGGTAAAACCGGAGCTTCTAGGCACAGAGGAACAGGTCCGAGCCATAAAGGCACGATGTGAGTTCCTGAAGTCAGCGAGAATGCAGCCCCAGCCATAGCGTGCTGGGTGGAGAGGCCACCCTGCTACCAGTCTGTGGCCTTGAGCACAGGGCCTGCCTCAGTTTCCTCATCTGCAAACGGGCCCTCCCCTGGACCAAGGAGTAGGATTCTCCACCTGGGAACCGCCACGAGTCTGTGTCTAAGTGGCATTTGTTCCCGGCTCCATGTCACCAGTGCCCTACCACCCCTCCCCCCAGCCCCCACGGAGCCTCCAGGTCACTGAGATCAAACAGCTGCAGGAGAGGAGGCTGGAAGCTCCTCTCTCAGAGCCGGTTGGCAGGGGTCAGCACTGGGAAAGCCAGGGAGGCACTGAATCCGAGCCTCGCCTTCCTCGGAGACCAGCCTGGAAGTCGCGTGCTAACTTCAGGGACCTGTACACTTCTTTCCCCTGTGACACTGCAGGTGAATGGTGGCCTCCGCTCAGCTGGCCTTCCCCTGAAGACTGGGTGCGGAGAGGCCTGGGTTTGAGCCCAGCCCCTTCCCCTTCTGGGCTGAGGGTTCCCAGGTTTCTTTCAGCTCTGGAGGAGTCAGGGGCCTTGTTACTATTTGCTATGAGCAACCAGAAGTGCTGCGGTTCACTCCCAGGGGCTCCCAGGTGAGCGGAGGGAGCAGAGCTGGGGCCTCACAGCGCCTTCGCCCTCCCCACACCCTGCCACCCAGGGCCCAGTGACTGCTGCCCCATTTTAGAGACGAAGGGACTTGCCCCAGGTCGGGTGGCTGGGCAGTGGCTGATGGGGGTTCTGGCTGGGTCTGGCTTTGGCGATGCCCAGGGGTGCCCTCACCCAGCTTCCTGTGCTTCCCACAGCGACACCCTGTGAGTGCCACCCACTTGATGACCCTACAGACCCCTCGGACGAGGCCGGATCTGACCTGAACACATCTTTCTGTTCCTCTATGCAAGCACAGTGAGCAATGCACTGGGGAATGTCCCCTCTGGGTATCTGTCCGTCCCCTCTCCTCCCTGTGGTCA